TTAGAAATCAGTTTGGAGTGGAGAAATCTACAGTGGGGCTGTTGTAATCCAAATAGCCAAAGCAAACAATACCCTTCTGCTATGGAGGGTAGTGACACTGGGAAACTTGGAAGACATAGTGGAGGGCTTTGCCATGCTGGGGTTCCCTAACTGTGGTGGGGTGGTGGATGGAATGCACATCCCTATCTGGACACCTAATCACCTTGCCAAGGAGTACATAAACCACCAGGGGTACTTCTTGATGGTGCTACATGCACTGGTGGAACACAAGGGCCATTTCACTAACATCAGTGTGGTATGGTCAGGAAAGATGCATGACATGCACATCTTTAGGAACTCCTGTCTCTTTGGCAAGTTGCAATCTGGAACTTTTTTCCCAGACCAGAAATTTAAAATCATACATGTTGAAATACCAATAATGATCCTTGGTGACCCAGCCTGCCCCTTGCTCCTGTGGTTCACGAAGCCATGCATGGACAGCCTAGACCACAGTAAGGAGCAATTAAACTACAGGCTGAGCAAGTGCAGAATGGTGGTAGAATGTGCTTTTGAGTGTTTAAAGGGGAGATTCTGGAGTGTACTACTTAGTTTAGACCTCAGAAAATGCAACATTCTATTCCCATTGTGATGGCAGTTTGCTGTGTGCTCCATAGTATTTGTGAGAGCAAAGGCGAAATGGATTTGTCAGGGTGGAATGCTGAGGCACAGCACCCTAGCCAGGGCTGGGGCTCAAGCCATATTTCATTTGGGATGAGCAAACAGAGATTTACTGCAAAGGCATCAGCTAGTAGTTTTCACTTCTTCATGACACAACAAGCCATCTTTTCTAAGATGATTTGTAAGCATCTTCTCATGGCTTGCAATGTATGTCATAGTTGTAGGCTCCGTTCTAGTTTGGATTTATCTTCACATCACAACAGAGTATCATCTGCAAAAAGCATGCACCATGGAGTCTCTGCCTCAGGGGATCCATTACCATCAAATAGGAATGGGCTTAAGACTGATTTTTGATGTAGACTTATCATCATAATGAATGACTCTCTTTAGCTGCAGCTCATGTGTGTCCATGATAGTCTGAACATACATCTCTGGCAGATGGCAAAACCACATACATCACACTAACAGTTTGATAAGAACTCTGTCATAAACCTCCTCTAAATCAGCACACTAAGGACAGTTCCTTGCATGTCTTTGTATTTCTCCTGCACTATTCAGATTGCAAACACTGCATCCATTGTTGACCTTCTTGGCATAAATCCAAGTTGTCTCTGAATGCTCCAGAGTCTCATACGGATAATTCTTTCTAGTCATTTAATCATGTGACTCAGTAATTTGATGGGCTGTTAATTACTACATTTTTGCATGTCTCCTTTATGCTTCAAGATAGGGAACAATGTGCACAGACATTTTTCCAGTACAGAGAACTAAGTTTAAAAAGTTGTCTTCATTTATTTCTCATGGCCTAATGCTTTAAATGTCTCTGGGAACTTCCCAGGTTTCATCATCTTTAGTACTGAGGCTCCATGATGGTGATAGGCCTTGAGATTGTTGCTTGTGCATCTGTCCTTCAGTGTATTCTGAAACTGTTGAACAGAAAATGTACCAGTAAATCTAAATTTCTCATTCTCCCAAATACTGTTATGTCACGTCATTTTACTCGCCTATTTCTCAATCATTTAAATCAGTAGAGTTAGATATTTAGACACTTTGGGTACATCTACACAGCGGCGTTATTTCAGAATAACTGACATTATTTTGAAATAACAATGTGCATCTACACAGCAAGCCATTATTTCAAAATAATGTCGAGATGGAGGACTTCTTACTCTGACTCCTGCAATTTTCAATTCACAATGACTCAGGGAAGTTGAAGGAAGAGTATTCCTCCTTCGACTTCCTGCTGTGTAGACAGCGCCAAAAGCTGAATTAAGCTATTTCGACTTCAGCTATGCAATTGACGTAGCTGAAGTTGTGTATCTTACTTCAACTTTTGCCCTGCAGCGTAGACATGCCCTTTGAGATTCTTTCAGGCACCTATCTGCATCTATACCCATCTAAACATGCCTTTACCAATAGTTTCCATTGTGAACTTAAGCAGCATTGCTTTCAATCAGATTTGCAAAATAACCACCTGTGTACTGCTATTACTACTCAGTCTTCACCCATTTTTAGAAGTGATTTGATCATGAGATGAAACAGTCAGACATGTTTCTTTCACTACCACTTGTTAGCCAGGAACATAACTAGAAATGACAGAACATTGCAAGAACTGTTTCTCTGGCATCATTCCTTGCAAGGAGTGAAAGTGTGAGTATCCCAAACTTTACAAATTACTTGGTTTTTTTTGATCCTTTCAGATTAATTTTTCAAACTCAAGTGATCTGATTCTCCACCACCTGACATCTTGTGCAGACACTTACACATGTTCAGAAAAGGAGTGAAGTCTTAAGGTTATAATTTAAAAGAGTAAGTGACTATCCAAGGTGAAAATGACTTGTGTTTGAGGCCCAGAAGGTTCAGTTAGCATCCAAAACAGCCTCAAACCCTAAACTTTTTGTGGTTTGACCTTGCTGGATTGTTGCTTTTTCCCCCAAAAAGAGCTTTCCACTTCTTTCTTATACCATTTGTTTAATTCCAACCCATCCATTACACCTTAGCCTCTTTTTTCACCTTCCCCCATTTTAAAAAAAATAAACCATTTTACATGTGGTCTTCTTTGAAGTCACTTAAATAAAGAGCTGGGCCTGAAAAACAGCATTTTCCACTTCCATTGAAATCCATGGAAGTAGAAGTCACTCAGAACCTCTCAGGATGGGGCCTCAGTTTCCACTGTTCTGAAATTACTTGTGAAATTACTCTGGAAGTTCATTCAGAAGTTCTTAGGCAGTTCACATTTGAATAAAATCAACAATATTAAAGACTAGCTCACCTGTTGCTTCCTCTGGTATGTTCTCATGAGAGTTTTAAAGCAAGTAATGATGTTTATTGTAGATTCCAGATGGTTCTTGATAAAATTAGGTCCAGATAGGCTCTAACCCATGTTGTACATTCAACAAATTGATGGAACTCAATCTTGCAATTATTCTCTCACCTATGTTTTGCAGTTATTGACTGAGCTAACATCTGAGTAATTAAAACAACTACTTTAATCAGTTTTCCAGCCTTCGTATGGCTGTAGAGAAACAAATCCCAATTCATTTTCTTTAACTGCCATTGATATCTAATTTGATCTGGAAGAAGAGTATAGAGCTCAAAAGCTTGTCTTTTTCACAAGAAGTTGGTCTGATTAAAAAAATAGTACCACAGCCATCTTGTTTCCAAGGTAGTAGTCCATCCCCCCCAGCCTGAGTTTGAACCTCCTGGATTTCATATTTGAGGTCTGCTCAAAGCTGCATGCTCTGACTCCAGAGGCAGTTCTTAAATGCAACAGAATTTAAGCTGCTTGTAGCTTTGCCTTTGGGACAAGGAGTTTGTTATAAAAAGAGAGAGGCAGAGTGATTAAGAATAACAAAAGGCTGGTTATTCATGTAGTTGAAGGATCATTAGAGCATCATGAAAATATTGTTAGGTACTCCACTTAAAAGATGGCGGGGGAAAAGTAGAAATGAGTGTTATGCTGCAGGGATCTGCATTTGGACTGCTGCTGTTAAACTTTTCATAAACGTTCTTGAAAAGGGAGCAAACAGTGACTAATCTACAGCTGGCTGCAAAGAAATCTTACAAAACTGGGTGACCAGGCAACACAAAGGCAGATGGAATTTAGTGTTGATAAGTGCAAAGTAATGTACATGGAAAAATATGATGGGGTCTAAAATAGCTGTTGCCAATCAAGAAAGAGATCTTGGAATTCTTGTGGATAGTTCCCTGAAAACATCTGTACAATGTGCAGTGGCAGTCTAAAAATTGAAAAAGCTAACAGAATATCAGGAATCGTTAGGAAAGGAATAGATAAGACAAAATACCATATTTCCTCTACATAAAGTCATTGTATGCCCACATCTTGAATATTGTATGCAGATCTGGTCAACCCATCTCAAAAAAGATATATTGTATTTGGAAAAGCGACAGAAGGGCAATAGAATTATTACGGGTAAGGATCAGCTTCCATATTAGGAGAGAATAACAAGACTGGGACTTTTCAGCTTGGAAAATAAATGACTAAAGGGTTGGGGGATATGTTAGAGGTCTAGAAAATCATGAACGGTGTGGAAAAATAGAATAAGGAAATGTTATTTATTCCTTTGCTGACATAATACAAGAAGCTGACCCAATTACATTTATAGGCAGCAGATTTAAAATGCACAAAAATTATTTTTTCAGAATCAGCTTGTGGAACTCTTTGCCGGGAGTTGATGGGAAAGCCTAAACTATAACACAGTTCCAATAAGAACAAAATAAGTTCAATGAGGATAGGTCCATCAATGGCCACTAGCCAAACTGGGCAGGGATGGTGTCCCTAGCTTCTGTTTGCCAGAAGTTGGGAATGGGCAGTAGGAGATGGATCATAATGACTGCCTCATCTGTTTATTCCTTCTGAAGCACCTGACAGTGGCCACTGTTGGAAGACAAGATACTGGGTTAGAAGGATCTTTCATCTGAACCAGTATGGCTATTCTGATATTCTTATATAGAGCTGACGTATATCTGCCCCCTTGCTGTAACTCACTATGCCAGAAGTTGGGAATGGGCAGTAGGAGATGGATCATAATGACTGCCTCATCTGTTTATTCCTTCTGAAGCACCTGACAGTGGCCACTGTTGGAAGACAAGATACTGGGTTAGAAGGATCTTTCATCTGAACCAGTATGGCTATTCTGATATTCTTATATAGAGCTGACGTATATCTGCCCCCTTGCTGTAACTCACTA